CTTGATGTCATCCCATGCCATGTCTGTTAAGGCAGTCTTATATTTTAAATAATATAATACATTATTTTTGATCCATTTTTAAAGACAAAACAGACACGTTTTTCTTTAATTACTTTAACATAATTTTAAATCTTTTTAACTGATTTGACATTAAATTAAAGCCCCATTATTGTGATCTTGATCTACGCTTATTTTAGATAAATGTGTAATTGACACAAAAACCTAGTGACACATTGAGTAGAAAAATGTACATTGACAGATGGCGTGTTGCCAAAATAAAGACCGCTATTGAAAGTTGCCGATTTTGAATACGAACGAATTAATTAGCTGTATTGCTGCTATTACAGGGACAAAAAAGCTCGGTTTCAGCTACGTTATAATATAATCAATATTGTCTAGTGGGACCATGACTGTTGAAAAAAAATCCAAAACGTCTGACATAAGTGTATTTTTCCCGTTTAAAACCGTAATCATATTTTTTTCAATGTCGTGTCAAGTATACTTACATAGCTTTTAATTCACAGCATTACATAAACAACATACAATACTTAACACAACTAATTACGCAGTATTATTTATATGATACTAGATGGTATGTTGTAGCGTAGTTTAAAAAAGGCTTATGCATATATTAAAAGATTTTTCATTCATGTTTTTTTAATTTAATATTTGTAATATAGCTTTGTAGAATAGTTACTAGTATTTGATTAAATATCTATACTACGTACAGCGTTCCCTATACCAATAACATATTCAAACTATGTAGGTGTCATTAGGCCACATTTTTTACTTTTACTAAAATACACTAGTTAGATTTGATATTGAGGAGAAATTAGCAAAACGATAGATATTGAATTCTCAATGACGCAAAAAGTTAAAAGAAAAATATCAATAAGAGAAATTACTAGAATTCACTGATAAAACACTTAATTGATAACAAGTCGATATAATAGTTTTCAATGACTTATAATTACTAGCGACCCGTCCCGGCTTCGCACGGGTTATAAACAAGATTTACACCTATAGGCACCGCCGAATGGTTATTGTGGGACATTCTTATACATATACCATCGCAGACATTTTTCTCTTAAAGGTTAACAACAGCACAAAACGCCGTGGATGCCGGTTCAGTCTTGCCCGCGTCATTATTTAATCTAAAACCGATTTTAATTTTAGTAATTTTTATTTTGTTATAAAATGTAATAGTATAATATATGCGTAGTTTGTTTAATGAAATAAAATATGCTTAGTTTAAATAAACACTTACGGGTCTCCCCGTGACCACGGCTGCTGCAAAGCATCCGAAACGTCGGGCCGAAGTTAAAAATCATTTTCAAACAAGTTTAACTAATATATCGCGTTTTAAACCGGTAAAGTGTTTTATTTAAATGTGTACTACTCGCGTAAACTATAGACAGTATTTAGCTTAGTTTACAATGCTTATTGTTTTAATATATTGTTTAGTTGTCGTTGAAATATTTGTAATAAAAAATAACAAAAAATATTATTTCTACTCTCTCTTAATATATTCTATCTTTTAAAACCCGCTTCAAGGTCAGATGTGTAGTTTTTGAGATTTAAGCATACCTAAAGATGGACAGACAGAGACAACGACCTCGTTTCAGTTTATGTGATGATTGTAATTTACAATTAAATATTTAATTAAAACCTTGTGTATAATACAACCTTGTACAACTTTTTTTATATTTTCCTTAATAAAATTGTATTGGTGATATTAATAAACGTAAGTATCGAGATATTATTATGTATTATTTGCATTTCGTTGAATGCAATGTATGACTTCGTGTATTTGACGGAATTTTCATATTTCTACCACGCATTTAATACCCAGATTTTAGGATATGTCTAAAAATGATAAATTAATTAGAAACATGTTGGTACCGGTAGGGGGGGGTACCATGACCCCCTTGATTATTATCCATAGGTATATTTTTATATTTAACATAATCTGTTCTACTACTAACACGATTACAACCGGATTCGATGTTGACGTATATGTTACGTATGATAAAAAACCTTATCGAGTATTAGATAAAAAACGGGTTAAGTGTGAGTCGATTCGCGTGCTAAGAGTTTCTTACCATTGATTAGGTAAATATACTTCAATTTCAAGTGACGCCTGTTATTTAACACATAAAAATTGCGTTATTTAGATATTTTCAATTTGAATTCATGATCTCAATAACAATAAAGAAATATTAATAAATTTTAACTCTCCGGCGATCTCATTTCTTGAGATTCTATCTTGGGTCTGGATACAAACAGACACCGAATCTTAATCGACGGCTCGTTTCTTCTATTTGAGTATACGGAACCCTAAGAACGTCCCTTGAACATTGCACATTCGTTTCTTCGAATCGGTTGTCGAAATTCTCATGGCAAATGTGTTCACACGCATCGAAAAAATGATTTTCCACAAATAGGTGTTTTTGTTAACCTAAAGTAATCTCGTCAAGATTTAAAGTTGTAAAGAGTCGACTTTTTGCGATAGGACAAAAACTACTTCCTAATTACAAAATGTTTTAAGTAAATTAGTTATGTAAGAAATATTGTTTAATATAATCTTTCTTTTTTTGAATGGCATTATATTTATTAAAAATATATTTTGATTAAAAAAAATACGACACAGACAGGACGAACCGTTATCCACAGCGTGTCTAGGTTAAAATTACATGCACCTTGTCTTTATGAGTGATTTTTTTTTTAATGTGAGTATTATATTTGGGGAAAACCAAAAAAAACATAACACGAGTTCAGAGTCAATCAGGTGCCCACTCTCTACAGTAACCTGGGCCAAAAATGGACATTTTATTGAGAAAAAAAAACATTACCTAGTTATGGATTATTTACCCTATTGACTTCGCGAAAGTTATCTAATTTTTTTTATTTATATTTCTCAAGTCTCTCAAATGGGTGTTCCACCTCTGTTATTTCAAATGTAAACACTATTGTAAGACTTAATCCAGCATTATAAGAACGCAAACACGGAAATTAAGAATTATAGGGCAAAGAATCTGTAATCCTACTTGATAACGAATTATGTCATACAACTTTAAACACTAGAATAATTAGAGCTAAATAAAACACGAAAATTTAAATCGTACTATGAGCAGTCTCTACTTTACGCGAGTAGTACACGTTTATATAAAACACTTTAACGGTTTAAAACGCGATATATATTAGTTAAACTTATATGAAAATTATTTTTACGGGCATGGTCACGAGGAGGAAAACATGGAAGGTGTCTCTGACGTAAAAGTAAAAATTACTACGCTAGCGCCATCTGTTCTGTCCGACAAAGTGTTTTAGTTAAAATGGAAATGCTTTTCAGTTTTTACTAACACGGAGCATGGGGCAAAGTCTTAAGGTAATGTTTGGCGTGCCTTGCAAATGACTCAAGAGTTGTTGGAGGTAAGGCGACGAAAAATCAAGAACAAGGATTTGACATCGTCGAAATTTCGTAAACATAGTTTTGGACCGTAGTGGAAAGCACAGAACGACGCAACTGTGTGTTTTGACTCATTTGAGCTAGATGAGATCATATTCATGAGCATTAGGTAATACAGGGTCTTGCATTTACATGAGTGTCTCATATACCTATATTGTCATTGATTTGCATCTTGACTACTTGTCTGTTTTTATTGTATGCCAGAGAGGCAAGCATCGGGTTCCATTGATTGGAGGTATTTATGACAGAGGAAGGAGGTTCACATTATGGTTCATATAAGAGAAAATACAGGCTCTATACATTACACAAAATCTGCTGTTGACCTATTTAAATATTTGAAAATCTGCAGAGTACAGACTGAAACGAAAACGCGATTAAACTTCATTACTTTTTCATCTGTGGACGAACGTGGCCCAGTGACGAACGGAATTTTGATATTCCTATCAAACATTTGATATCCAGATTTAAAAAAATATATAAATTGGTGAAAAATATGTTAGACCCCATGGAGATTGAACACAAGACTCGTTGCTCAATTACCATTGCTAGCATTAAACCAGCGAGCTCGTCTTCTAAGAACACTTTACTTACCTTTACTTGGAATTTACATGGATACAAAATCAAAAGGAAAACGGCATACATTTAAAATGATAACGTTTATATTATCTGTAGTTTACACGAGTAGTACACATTTAAATACCCTTTAACGGTTTAAAACGCGATATATATTATATCTAAAACTTCGGGCCGTAGTTAAAATAATTTACAAATACGTTTAGCTAAAATATATCACATTTTAAACCGTTTAAGTGCTTTATTTAAATAAATGACTTAATTTATTTAAAACATGTTTAGGGTTTCCTTCAAAAAAATTCTTAAACATTTGTTTTTAGCAGTAATTTGTAATATCTATCGTAGTACTAGTAATTAACATGAATAACGCGTTACACTACGTTACGCATAGCGTTAGAGATGATGACATTTTAAACAACAATCATTCTTCTTGTTATAGTATAAACAGTTGTCGTGTTTTTTTGTTTGTTTTAATAACTGCCAGATATTTACGAATATACATCTGTAAACATGAATGAAAAAATAATTACTTACAATATGGATCATCTATAATGATTAGATCACGCACAAATGGCCAAGTGCGAGTAGGATTTTCGTATATGATTCCGTTAGGTAAAAGCGAGTAGTACAAGTTTAAAAAAATGAACGGTTTTAATCGCGAAATTAATAAGTTGAATTATTTAAATTTAATTTTGCTACGGTCCGGCATTTCTGATGCTTTGCAACAGCCGTGGTCACGGGGGTTACTTAAAATTAGTTAACGAATATATTTCGCGTTTCAAACTGTGTTTTTAAACAATAAGCGATATTATTAAACATGTATTTAGAAGGCTTTCATGTATGTTTAATCAAAGTCGTTTTTAACCGTTTCTACGGAATCTTAAAAAAGGAGATCTTGTTGATTATTACAATGTTTCATAAGAAAGACATGATTAAGTAATTCTACATGAATACTCACTCAATGTAAACAGGCTCGGCGATTAAGACATCCCCTTTGCACTTCTGAAACAACAAAATGTACAAATTATATAATCGTTCGAAAAGCACCTTTAACTTACATAGCTTTAGGGACTATAATATTATTTATAGTATCCAGTTGTCCACACGATGTTCAAATATATTTTACACAAATTACTAATTGATAGGAAATATTTTGGATCCGGTGGGAATCGAACTCAAAGTCACTTGATTATTTGCTTTACTTTCTACCATTAGAACAACAAGGATCGCAAAATAATATAATCATATACGTAAACTAACTGTAGTTCGCGAGTAGTACACCTTTTATTAAAAGACTTTTAACGGTTTAAAACGCGAAATATATTAGTTACATCTATTTAAAAATTATTTTACGGCCTTTCGGATGCTGCATTTGTATTAAAGACATGTATAATAAATATTATTATAAGTTCTTAGAAAGGCAGATGTATAAATCGTCAAAGAAGGACACAATAAAAATTCTCGCTTCGGCGATCTTATAAGTTATCCCATAATAATAGGAATATCGAACAGATGCCGGGGAACCAGGGCTGGGACCGGATTCCATATTATTACTGAGCAGGTAAAATATCGTACGATCACACGTTACGCCCCACAGAATGTAACGGTTGCACAAGTGGTGAAACAAGCGAACTTATTCGCATTGAGAGCTAATTATAGTGTGGCTAATATATGATTATTCCAATATCGAAGACCACAATAGGTCGATAACGCATCTTGTTTGGACGTTATATGGCTGGGGTATTTGTTGGCGCTTGTCTGTCCCCCACAATAGGTACAAAAGTATATAATTGTGAATTTATTCAATTACTATAGTTATTTTGGGCGTCAAAATGACATTTAGCATTCCTTGTCTTCTTTATTTTTAAACTATAGTTGTTACTCACGATATCGTTCGCGTACCGTCGTACTTGCAAGTTAATTTTAAAAGATAGACATATTTTTTATTTTTACTTAAGAGATAGCTATATAGTTTTTCGTGTGCCATTTATCTAAATAGGTTAATATTTTTTGAAGTCCATTTCACCGAAACAAATGCAATAGTAAACGCGCCATCCTGTATAAGGCAAAGTATAATTCTATAGCACGAATGCCCCGTCTTCTTCAAACATTATGAAATGACAGATTGTCGTGATTTGACTCAAAGGTATAAAGGTTATCGTAGCGCCACAAAGATTACAGTTATATGTATTTAATATTTGCTCAATTAAACTTATTTAACGGTTCAAATAAGGAGAATAGGGGGTATTAACTATAATTAGAGTAAAACGCTTTTTTCCCCCGTGGGACATGGGGCGAACACATATCTCTGTCCATTTTACTGATCGGTACTATTCACAGGCAAGTAGTTGATCAGATTTGCCTTCCCTGACGGAGACAATCTATTGATTCCAGGATTGGAATCCAGGACCTTCTCCTCTCTCGCTTAACGCAATACTGGGCAACACGTTTAACCATTAAGCTACATAGACGTAACTGTTTAAAAAATAACTACGATCAGATGTTTCACAGTTTCATCTCCTCCACGCGAACAATCAATCAATTATTTCAAGCAATATTTGACGTTTGAAACCCTTAAGTGTTTTGTTCACTAGAAGCGTATTCAGATTATAAATTTTGTCAAGGTCGTGTTACAAATTGGGCGGTGTGTCGACTCATTTTCGAAAGTTGTATTTGTCATAAATCCAGTTTTTATTTTAGGAAGCTGCATAATTTCGGAAAGACAAGTCACAATTGTCGCGTTTCCGTCGCTTCGGGAAAACAACAAGGTCGCGACGATCGCGACTGACTTTGATTTGACTCGTCGTAATCTCGCGAGATAACCTAATACGATATGAATGCAATAACAGTTAGCGATGCTATAAATTAATAAAGAATCAATTAAATGTGTACTTATATAACAAGATGCACTATCGCACTTGGGAGTCCATACATCACCTTTCAAGATAACAACTTAGTTACATAATTTTACTTTTCAAATTTTTATTTTACAAATAGTTTTATTTAGCTCGATCCGTACGGAATTTATTTATTTGGGTCAAAATTAGAAATGAAATTTGGTACACACATTTAATTTAGATAACAATACAATACAATAAAATCAATAATATAATAAATCTAAGATGGTTTCCGATACGAAATGGGGGATAACATATTTTTCCTTAACCCCCTAAATATGGGTATTAAACGAAAGGGCTACACTAGTAAAACACGATGATTACGTCGAAATTTTTTTTTTTGCAGTTCTCAGTGCACAACAAATAAAACTGTTTAAGCTGATACTTGTTTCATTCGTTAAGAGGACTAATTACAATTAAATACAACACTTTTATAACAATGTACCTACTTGCAAATAAGCAATTGCATTATTTATGATAGAAAAGAGCAGATAACGTTAATTTGATGGAAGATAAAAAAACAACACTTTAACGGTTTAAAACACGTTTTAAACCGTTAAAGTGTTTTATTTAAATGTGCACTACTCGCGTAAACTACTACAGAAAGTATTTAGATAAAATACCTACAACAAGATATGCTGTCGACCTATTTTGACTTTGGAAATTCGGAAATTCATAGATTCATTTAATGTCCATATTTCTAGAAGTCCAACAAGTTTTAGAAAAATAATAAGCGGGTGAGAAATATTTTGGAGTCGGTAGGGATCGAACCCGCGATCCTTATTATAAGCCATACTTTCCTACCATTAGACCAACGAACCCAGTTAACTTATACAATTCCTGTTTTATACATTTGGGGTAGAATTAAAAAAAATATATATTTATATGAACAAAGAACATTCTTATTTAATTATAAATTTACGATAAGCAATATATAGACTGTGATACATAAGTCATTAGCGACAATGCATTTTATTTACATTACCGGCGCCTATGTATTACTCACAGTTCAAACTACACTCTGTCCTTTCCAACTTAATTTTAATATTAAATTGTAAGACTAAGCTGCAGTTAAGATAACGGTAAAGAGACCGCTGCAAATACCGTACGGGTAAAAGCCAAAAATGGCTCTGCAGGGCTCCGCAAAACCTGAACATTTGAATTCATTTCTAAAACATGGATAGAAGAAATGCAATAAGTTGTATTAAAATATTGAATAACATTTTGAGCTCACAGTTAAGAAAAATTCGTTGATAAAATTTTCTCTTCCTTCAGCAGTTTTTGTTTATGTAGAAAATCTTTTTTAATTTCACTACGGTCAGATATTACGGCTTAAATCAAATTAACAATAAGTTAACTGATATATTACGCGTTTTAAACCAATTATGTTTTATTTAAATAAACAGAACATTTTTAACAAAGATTACAGAGGCATATTAAGTAATATAATAGATAAAGAAAAACAAAATATAGGTTTATTAAGATACCATTTTTATTGTACATTACGTCGAAATGATTTACAATTGGAAAGAAAATATCAGTTTAAAAAACAGCTTACGGGTTATTTATTTACTCGCTAAGGCGTGATTAGTACAGACAATACTTGTAGGTCGAGGTTCTACAAATCAATCAATAGAGCCTTGAATAAGGCTTCAGCTAGACCATACTTTGTTGTTATTGTCTTACACTAATTCTTTTTCGCAATGACAACTGCTTAGCTAAGCCTATTTAAAAAAGTTCTAGAAGGGAAGACTTCACGACTACAAAGTTTCGTACTTTTGCACTACTGAGTATTAAATTCAAGACTTTGTCTAAATTTTAATGTAACACTTAACGGTTTAAAACTCGAAAGATATTACTTAACTTATTTCTAATTTTAACTACGGCGTTTCAGATGTTTTGGACAACACGGAAGGACAAAAATAACAATATATTTTGTAGTACTAACTAATATATTTCGAATTTCAAACTGTTAAAACTGTTTCATTTAAATTTGTAGCTATCATCAAATAGAGTTTTCAGAATCTACCCTAAATTCTAATCTTTAAGCCTTCATTGTCCAACATCAGATCACATCAGAGGTTATATGTATTTCTTTTACTTACGGCGTTCCCAAATTGGCAGCTATTAAGAGGCCTATACTATATGACCATGAATAGTCTTGGTTTCGACTAGTACTTCTAGGATAAGGGTTTAAACAATAAGTAATTTGACTTTGCCTTAATGCACAACAATGAAACATTACGATCCTAAAATTTCGCATTGCCAAATCCATACTTGGTATGTATGTATGTGTTATTCCTTTGTTTTATTATTATATTCCAGCTAACGCCTGTGAGAGGGGGGGAAATAACTTACCAAGTAATAGAAAAAAATAATAACATCACTAAAACATTTGTGAAAAACCAGAAGCTGATAAAACAAACACAAATTTAGTCTGGACTGTATTTTTTAACTCCACAATATTTAAAAATGTACAAAAAATGAAAAAAAGGATTTCTCTCTAATTACTTAAGGGTATGACATAAAGATAGCCTGCAGAAGACCAAATGAAAGGCATGTAAAGTTTTATAAAAATCAGAAGAGCTGTTTCGGTGGAATATGGTAACTAACACTGTGACACGAGATTTTTATATTATATTAGATTTTATTTGCTATATATATAGACGCAATAAAAGATTTCAAATCTGTGGTACTTATTATGGTGGTCGAAAAATGTGTAGTTAAATGTGTGCAAGAATCTTATCGATAACGAATGTTGATAACTAAATCGATTTGATAAAATGAGTACTATAGAGAACAAGAGAACGATTCTTGTTTTGAATCAGAAAACAACACAAAATTCATCATTCTAATCAAGGCAATTAGTAGACTGCAACCGCTGAAGAGTCAAACGTCAAATTTTAATGCAATTAACCGCGTTTTAAACTGTTATAATTGTCTAAACTAATTTTAAACTGTAATTACAAGTTTACTTGATAGCAGTAGTAAAAATATCACAATTAGATCGTAATACAATTAATTGTTTTATCTTAAGACCGGTTTTAGTACTCTTAAACAAAAAATGGAAGTAAATTTGATAAGAATATAGCAATACGTACGTGA